GAATGTGGCAGAAGGCCCAGCACAAGGAAGCGAACGAAGAGAGGCCCCACTGGCTTCCGAAATAATTGGGGGGGAACGAGGCCCAAATACCCCCGCCTCAGGAAGGGGAGCTTGGGGGAGTTGAATATCAGGAGACCAACCCTGCTCAGTAACACGCACCAGAGAAACGTTTTGTTGAATCAGAACCGGAGGTGGACAAATGGGGGCCCCAGATGCTTTTGGGGGAACCTTGGCCTTTTCTTTGCGCTTATGCAACTTGTCCCGGGGAGCAGAAGAGGCTCGAGGTCTACTGCTGGAGGCCCTGGTTGCGGCCCTGCCGGGCCTAGGGCTAGCCCCCCCTTTGCCAGGGGAACGGGGCTCAGAAATTAACTACTGATTGATCGGCCATGGTATGAATTTGAAAGAGCTCAATCACTGAAACAAAGGAATCCAATTGTGCACCTCTTGCCAAGAACGCCACGTGAAAGCAGAGACAAAGAGAGAAACGACCTCCTCCCTGAGTCAGCAGCCTCGAGTGAGGGAAAAGGGAGGGGCGGCAGCAGTACGCAGACTCCAGCGCATGAAGAAAATCTGCTTTCTCATCCCCGGACATTATCACGCATGCGTGAAATCACTCCCAAATATGGCGACCAGCAGCAAGGGCGCGAAATTCAAATGCAAACGGCAAGGAGAAATCCCAACGGCCGATTCATGCAACCCTCCGGCAGCCGCTCCAGCGAGAGGACGAGGGAGGTAGGCAGAGAGAGGAGAGGAATAGCTCCGTCAGTTCACAGCCTCGGATGTGACCTCGCCCGCAGGCGGGTGCTATCCGGCATGGGAAAGGCGGCACTGGGAGACTCAGCGTCCCTACGCGCCGAAACAAGGGGAGGACAGACAGAAAAGCCGTTTGTAAATGGCAAGATCGTCTTACGCTCCGGCTGCAGAAACCCGATATCCCTTACAGGGGAAGCAGCAATGAAGAGGAATCGGCTGGCAGAACTGCCGCTTTACCTCCAATCAGAAAGAATCCACAGCAAAGTACCAAAAGTAAATCCATTAATAGATCCAATAATCCTGAGAAATTGTCAATTAGTCAAGAGAGAATTGAAATAAGTCTCGTGGGCTTGGACTGAGTAAAGAGAACTGAGGAAAGGAAGGAAGTCCAGCCAGAGGAGGCGTGGTTTAGAAATTTACATACTCAGTCTCAAGGCTAAAGGGCTAAGTTAACCCATGATTGGATTCCCGGAGCAGCACACAGGAGAACCGGAGGACATCCACCAACGCAGGGACCGTCGGGCCTTGCTCGGAAGCCGCACTTTGATCTGGGAGTGACTGGTATGCGCTCTCTGGAAGGGTAGAAAAAACCACTGGAGCGGACGCGCATGGAACCTGGCCCAGGGAACCACGCTGATGCAGGATATCATCTTTCCCAGCAGCTTGGACAATGTCACCAGCGGTAACCGCCTCTGGGACAGCACATGACGCGCCAGGTGTTGTATCCTCTGTCACCTCTCTGGAGTCAGGAAAACTTCGCACGTCACAGAGTTGATGGTGGTCCCCAGATGAAGTAGGGACGTAGTCGGGCGCAAGTGGCTTTTGGGCAAGTTGAGGACAAAACCATGATTGCGCAGGAAGTCCATCGTGACTTGTAGATCTTGCAGGGCCTGGTCCCGGGAATGCGACAGCACCAATATGTCGTCTAAATAACAACTGACTCGAACGAAGGGAGGCTGCTACCACGGCCAAGAGCTTGGTGAACGTGCGCGGGCCGAGGACAGGCCAACGGGTAAGGCCCGATATTGAAAATGGCGGCTATTGAAGTGGAACCGCAGGAACTTCCGATGTGCCGGATGAATGGGCACATGGAGGTACGCTTCTTTGATGTCTATGGAAGTCATCATGTCGCCTTGGCGGATGGAGACCAATATGCTCTTGAGAGACTGCATTTTGAATTTTTGGTATTTGATATAATGATTGAGCCGTTTCAAATCTAGGATTGCCCTCCATCCCCCGGAGTTCTTTGGTACTAGGAACAAGATGGAATAGAACCCAAGGCCTTCCTACCCCTTGGGTACTTGTTCTATGGCCCTGATGGTGAGAAGATGATGTATCTCAGCATCCATGAGGCGCCGCTTCGATGCTCACCTGGGCACGGGGCACCTGATGAACCTTCTCGGAGGGATGGATAGAAATTCTAGAGTGAGACCCAGGGTCACGACCTGAAGCGCCCAGGCATCTGATGTGAGCTCCGCCCACTGATGAGCGAAGGCCAAGAGACGCCCCCCTATGGGTCCTACCTCCTGCAAGTCGCCGGTACCTTCGAAAGGACCGAATGCTAGTTCCTCGGAAAGACCTCCTATTCTGGGACTGCGCCTGACCCTGCTGGCGACCCCTATCTCTGGTGCCGGCTCGGTCCTGGCCACGATCCTGTGCCTCGAAAAAACCCCTGGTGTAGTTGGGGACATAGGGAGCGGGGGCGAAACCCGAGTCCCCAGTCCGAAAGGGATGCCGCCTATTGTAGGGCTGTTGTCTTCTGTTGATATGAGCACTGATAGAGGGAAGGACCTTGCGTTTATCCCGAGTCTCAATGAGAATGGGATCCAGCACTGAACCAAACAAGGCTCCGCCCTTGAAGGGCGTAGACGCTAAACGCCACTTGGATTTGACATCAGTCTGCCAATGGCGAAGCCAGAGCAAGCGTCGGGAAGCCACATTAGAAACTACGGCCCGGGATGCAAACTTTGCTGCGCTAAGGGTGGCATCCGCAGAAAATTCCAATGCTGCCATCAGCTTGGTGACATCCTGATGGAGGCGCGTTTCATCCGGGTACAGTCTATCCTGTAATTGCCTAAGCCAAACTAAGGAAGTTCTATTAAAGAAGGAAGCTGCAGTAGCTGAGCGTAAGGCCCAAGCCGCAGCTTGATGAGTCTTGCAAATGACCGTCTCGGCCTTGCGATCCTCAGCCTTTAACCCTTCTGAAATCTCAGATGGAATTAATGCCGGCGAAGCAAGAGCAGCAATAGGGGCATCCACGGTGGGAAACTGAAGGAGACCCTCCAATTCTGGAGTAGACGTGTATAGCTTCCTATCCCCTGCCCTGGGAGGATTAGCAGCAGTCGGTTGATCCCACTGCTTCTGGATCAAATCAAGAAAGAGTTTGGGACATGGAATAACATCCTGTAAGGCCACCTGCTCAGCGAAAAGACGCTCGGTGGCATCCAGACCTACAGCTGTACTTTCCCTAGAAGCCGCCTCCCCCATGTGGGTGGTGGTCTTGGCCTTATACAGCAATGATTTAAAAAGAGCATGCCTAAATAGCCCAGGGGCGGTAGGCTGATCTCTAGGGAGGCCTTCATCATCAGAAAATTCCCTATCCAGGTGTTCACCTTCCTCCACTAAAGCGGATTCTGCACTGAACACCGAGGGTAAGGGTGAAGGAGGATCCGTTTGCAGGATAGAAGAATCCCCTTGCAATGCCTGGGGAGCTAGGCCTGAGTGGGCCACAACGGGCCTAGGAACCTGGGACCTACACATTAATTCTGCATCCACCCCTTTCGAAATAGCCTCGGAGATCATGAGGTATAAATCAGCAGGAAGGCCCAATCCTGGCCCTCCAGAGGCCTGAGGCCTGCAGCTGTGGGCGTGCAGAGGGCCCAGCACGTGGGGGGAGCGAAGAGAAGCCCCACTAGTCTCAGAAATAATTGGGGGAGATCGAGGCCCAAAAACCCCCGTCTCAGGGAGAGGAGCCTGGGGAAGTTGAATATCAGGAGACCAACCCTGCTCAGTAACATGCACCAGAGATACACTTTGTGGAATCAGAACCGGAGGTGGACAAATGGGGGCCCCTGAAGCCTTCGGGGGAACCTTGGCCTTGTCTTTGCGCTTATGCGACTTGTCCCAGGCAAGAAGATGGTGTATCTCGGCATCCATGAGGCGCTGCTTTGTCGGGCACCTGGGCACGGGGCACCTGATGAACCTTCTCGGGGGTATGGAGAAAAATTCTACAGTGAGGCCCAGTCCCACAACCTGAAGGGCCCAGGCATCTGACGTGAGCTCCGCCCACTGATGATCAAAGGCCAGGAGACGCCCCCCTATGGGTCCTACCCCGTGCGAGTCACCGGTACCTTCGAAAGGACCGGTTGCCTGCTCCACGGAAAGACCTCCTATTCTGGGACTGCGCCTGATTCTGCTGGCGACCCCTATCCCTGGTTCCGGCGCGGTCCTGGCCGCGATCCTGCACCTGGGAAAAACCCCTGGTGTAGTTGGGGACATAGGGAGCAGGGGCAAATCCCAAGTCCCCAGTCCGAAAGGGCTGTTGCCTATTGTAAGGCTGCTGCCTTCTTTTGGCACGGCCACTGGTAGAAGGGAGGACCTTGCGCTTATCCCTTGTCTCAATGAGGATGGGATCCACGACTGAACCAAACAAGGCACCGCCTTTGAAGGGCGTAGACGCTAGGCACCACTTGGACTTGACATCAGCCTGCCAATGACGAAGCCATAGCAAACGTCGAGATGCCACATTAGAGACTACGGCCCGGGAGGCAAACTTTGCTGCACTAAGGGTGGCATCCGCTGAAAACTCCAATACCGCCATCAGCTTGGTGATATCCTGATGAAGGCGCATTTCCTCCAGGGCAAGCCTACCCTGTAACTGCTTAAGCCAAACCAAAGAGGTTCTATTAAAGAAGGAAGCCGCAGTAGCTGAGCGTAAAGCCCAGGCCGCAGCCTGATGGGTCTTGCGAATGACCGTCTTGGCCTTGTGATCCTCAGCCTTCAAACCCTCTGAAATTTCAGAAGGAATTAATGCNGAGTTGATCTTAGGAAGGAAGGTCGGGTCCAAACGAAGCACCACTCTGTTCGGATGGAAGATGCAAAGATCTGCATGAACAGAGAGCATCGCCAACTCCGACACTCTCCTGGCCGATGTAATGGCCACCAGAAACACAGTCTTGAGCGTCAACAACCGGAGACTGATGGAGTGGATGGGCTCAAAGGGAGCAGATATGAGAGCTCTGAGAACTAAGGTCAAGTCCCATGTGGGGTAACGGTGCACCGTCGGTGGTCGTAAGTTAGAAGCACCTTTCAAAAAGGTTCGGACCCGCGAATTCTGAGACAAGGAGCAACCTTGACCTCCTCCAATCACCGTAGACAAGGCTGTGACCTGCCGATGGAGTGTGTTCGGTGCCAGACCCTTGTTGAGACCAGATTACAAAAAGTCCAAAACTTGAGGCACCAAGGCCATGACGGGGTCAACCCCGGTGCGGCGGCACCACCGACAGGCGGCCTACCATGTGGCCTCGTAAATACGGGTAGTGGATGGGCCACTTGAATGGTGTCAATAACATCGTTGGAATAGTGAAAGGCCACTAAAATAGCCCGCTCACGTGCCACACGGCTAACTGCAGCAACTGGGGGTTCGGGTAGACAAGAGCTCCCTGGTTGAGCTGGATCTGATCGTCCGGAATCCTCCAAGGACGCAAAACGGACAGATGGACGAGGTCTGCGTACCAGGGCCGTCTGGACTACATCGGAGCGACCAGCAGCACTTTCGCCTGCTCTGTCAAGATCTTCTGAATGACCGACAGAAGGATCAGAAGAGGAGGAAAGGCGTAGAGAAGGCCGGCCGGCCATGGGCTGCGCAGAGCATCCACCCTCTCCACTCCAGGAGTCTGGGGCCTGGTGTAAAAACGTAGCAGTTGAGCATTGTGCGGATGCGCAAACAGGTCCACCTCGGGTCGGCCGAACCGGCGAGAGAGTTCCTGGAAGAGAACAGGGTGGAGTTGCCACTCCCCTTGATCCACAGTGGCTCTGCTCAGCCAATCCGCCTCCGTGTGGGCCACGCCCGAGATGTGCTCCGCCCAAATCAATGAGTCTGGACTCTGCCCAATGGTGCAACTTCTCCGCCTCCAGCATCAGAGCCCTGGAATGGGTGCCCCCCTGACGGTTGCTGTCAGCCTTGGAGGCTATATTGTTGGTCAAGACCAACACGTGGTTGTGTGATACAATGTCTCGAAACTCCAGAAGGGCTAGGTGGATGGCACATAGCTCTAGCAATTTATGCTGTTCGTCAACTTCTGATCCGACCAGCATCCTTGAGATACCCTGTCCAAGGCGTGGGCTCCCCATCCAAACAACCTGACGTCCGTTGTGACCTGGATGCGTTCTGGCTCCTTGAAGGGGCATCCCCGGAGAAGTCTGGAGGACATCCACAAACGCAGGGACCTTCGGGGTTTGCTCGGAAGCCGCACCTTGATCTGAGAATGACTGGTGTGCACTCTCTGTAAGGGTAGAAGAAACCACTGGAGCGGACGAGCATGAAACTTGGCCCAGGGAACCACGTTGATGCAGGAGATCATCTTCCCCAGCAGCTTGGACAACGTCGCGAGCGGTAACAGCCTCTGGGACAGCACTCGATGCGCCAGGTGTTGTATGCTCTGCCGTTTCTCCAGAGACAGGGAAACCTCGCACGTCACGGAATTGATGATGGTCCCTAGGTGAAGTAGGGACGTGGTCGGATGCAAATGACCATTGTCTTACCTGAACGGTCCTTCTATGGGTGCTGCGAAGGGAATCCAATCATGTGTTAACTAAGCCCTTTAGCCTTGAGACTGAGTATGTAAATTTCTAGACCACGTCTCCTCTGGCTGGACTGTTTCAGTTTCATACAAAGTCCGCTGAAGAATAAGTATGTCAATGTCAATCAAGCCGTAGGCAATCCGGTAGTAGGCACGGTCAAGTCCAGTCAGAAATGAAGTTAGTCACAGAGTCACAATCAAGGTGGAGCCCTGGCCAGCCGAAACTGCGGGCGGGTTTGGATTCCCTTCGCAGCACCCATAGAAGGACCGTTCAGGTAAGACAACGGTCATTCTCCTGTGTG